GGGGGGGGGGGGGGGGGGGGGAGACAGACCGGGCCGGCGGCGGGACGAAGGCGGGCACAGACAGGGCCAGGGGGGAGAGCGAGCAGGCGGCAAGCAAGAGAATGGCCGGCGCCTCGGAGAGTTGGTCCCCTGGGGTCTGTGGGTGTTGGGGGCCCCGTGGGAGGCGCGTCCCTCCCCAGGGGCGTGCGGCGAGAGCCCTGGCGGCCGGCCCCCAGGGCCGGCTCTGTGACAAGCCTGACACTTGTCACTCCCCGTCCCCCCGCGCGGCGGTGCGGAGTGTCTCCAAATGCGGGGGCGGGGACGCTCGGCAGGCCTGCCTGTGTGTGTTTGCCCCGGGGGCGAGGACGGGCCGGGGCCTGGGAGGGCCCGGTGTGGACACGGGCTCGCCCAGCTGTGGGGTGGAAAAAGGGGCCTCCGGGCGCAACCCCGGCGCGCGGCTTGCCTGGCGACCAGCCCCTGCGGGCGGACCGCCCCTCGACGGGACGCAAGACGCAGGCGCGCGTCCACCCCCGCGGCAGGCCTGCCGACTGGCCGCCGCTTGTGGGATGGGGGGGGAAGAGGAGACCCGGCGGCCGCGCAGGGCCCGGCCGCAAGCATGCTCCCCTCCCCCCACGAGGCAGGAATGCGGGCGCCGCCGGGGGGGGGGGGGGATGGAGGCGAGGGAAATGATCAAGACCATTCCCCTCTGCGGGCCTGGGGCCGGGGGCCGTGGTCCCCGGGGCCCGGGTGTGAGCAGGCGGCCGAGCGCGAGAGGGGGGGGGGGTTGGACAGGCGCCCGGCGATGTTCGTGGGATTGCACCCAGCGAGGGAGGCGGCGGCGGCTCGCATGCCACCCGGCGAGACTGGCGCAGGACCGCGCCAGCCCCCCCCCCCCCCGAGTCGCGGGGAAATCCCCGCTGGGCGCGCTGGGGCTCGCCTGACCCTGGGACATCGAGCGGGGTCCACCGGTAGCTGAGGGGGGCGCGGGTGCCCCCCCTCCCCCTCCCCCCGAACCGAAGATGGGGTGGAGCGCCCGCGAACGCGACAAGCCGGCCGCCCCGGCGTATCGGCACCTCGGCCAGGCTGGCCGGCCGCGCCGACGGTGCCCCGCCCCGAGCCCCGCCCAGCCGAAGGTCAGGCGCGCCCGGGCGGGTGGCGACCGAGTACGTCGAGAGCGAAACCCGGCGGCGGCAGGGGGCGAACGCCCTCCGCCGCCCCCCGCTCTGCGGACGAAGTAACGGCGTGTGCGGTTATGCGCAGGGTCCGGTCGCCGTGCCGGCCCTGCGGAGGGTGATGCGACACCCATGTACGGCCCCCCCGCCCCCGCGCCCCGCGCCCCCCCCGGCGGAAGGGACGGGGAAACGCCTGGACCGCCAGAGCGCCATCGAACTGGCTCCCCGCCGGGGCCGCAGGGCAGGACGAGAGTGCCCCTGCCGCGGGCGGGGCCGGCCCGGCGTGCGGTCACTCGCTTTCCTGTGGCCGCCCCTCGGGGCCGGGCGGAGCGTGGCGCCGGCCTGCGCGCGGCCATCCCGCGAGGCGCCGAGCGAAAGCCCGTGCGGGTCGAGGCCGGCCCCCCGCCCCGAGGGGGATTCCGGCTGACTCAGGGGCCCCGCGACAGGGCGCCCCGCTCGCGCGCGCGCATGCGTTCGCGGCGAACGCCTTTGCGTCCTTCGGCCCGCGGTGCTTGTCGCCCGGAAAGGGGACACACCGGGGCGGCCGCGGGCGGGGGCGGAGCGGCTCGCCCGTCATAACGGGCAGAGCCCCCCCCCCCACACACACACACACGGGCCCCATTTCCCCACCCTCGCCCCGCTCGGCCGAAGAGGGGAAGGCCGGCGCGCCGGTCGCCCCGGGCCCCGGGGAGCCGCCACCGGCCCCTCTTGACGGTGTGCCTTTCGCGGAACATCCGCCCCTCGGGGGCCGGCCGGACACAGCCAGCGAGGCTTGCAAGGGCACGCGGTCGTCGGCCGTTCGGGGAAGTGTTGATCGGCAACCGGGTGTCGGCCGTGCTGGCAGAAGGCGAGAAAACAATCACCGACGTGGCACGCGCCGGGCACAACACCGGCATGCCCCCGGATCCGAGGGCATGCCTCCCGGGCATGCGCCTCCGGGGGCGAGGGGGGGACCCAGCGGCTGGCGGCCCGGCGTCGCCTCTCCCCCCCCCCCGGGGGGGGGGGGAGGGGGGGCCACGCGCACCCCGAGCGCCAGCGCGCCAGTGCGCCCGGGGGAACGGCGTCTCGGCCGCGCACCCCCCCCCCCCGGACGCACTTAGGGCCACCCGGGCGCCAGCCAGCCAGCATTTAGGTCGGCTCGGGGGCGGTGGCGACCCGCCATCACCAGGGTCCAAGATGCGGGACACCCTCCTGCCGGATGCTTGGATGGGGGCGGGGGCGGGCATAACCTGCGCGCAAGGACCCGGAGCGCCACACAAGCCCGCCCGCGTGCGGGGGCCCGGCAAACGAGAGCGCCTGCGGGCGTGTCTGCCCCCCCCCCCCATGTGGCACCCCCGGGCGCGGCTGTCCTGCCCGGCCGGCGGGGGCGTGGCGCTGCGGGTATCCTTGTCCGGGCCCGCGGGCGTGCGCGCGCGCATACACGCGTCCGCACGCCCACCTGGACTCTTGTGGCGCATTCCCGCGGGCTGGGGGCCGGCATGCGCCGGCCGTGGCCGAGCCCGGCCGCGATCCCCGGCACACTGGCGGGGCGCGCCCGAAAGCGGCCGACCGATGTGGCCGCCCGACTGGCGGCAGTAAACAAACACTCGCGCGCACACCGCGCGGAGGTCGTGCCCCGCCCAGCCGCCCCCCCCCCGCCGCGAGAAACCACACGACAAGGACCCGCACACACGCACGCACGCGCGCGCGCACGGGAGAACGAGTTAATCCCCGGGCCTTGTCCCCCAAGCAGGCGTCGGGCGGGCGCCTCGCCCGGGAGTGGCCCGGGGATTCCGGCTCCGTGCAGCACAGCCGGCAGGCGGAGCCGGACGCCGCCACACGCGCATACACGCGTCCGGAGACCCCCCGCATGTGGTAAACAAACACATCAGGGACAACCGCCGGGCTGAGGCATTCGCATTCGTTATTCCTCCAGTCCTCGCCCCCCCCCCCGGGGGGGGGGGGACGGTGCCGACTACAGCGGAAGAGCCACACGCCGGGTCGCGGAAAGCGCGGCACGCGCGGCCCCGGCACCTCGCGAGGACACGACCTCCCGGCATGCGTGCGTGGTGCGTACGCCGGGCAGTGTGCTCTGCCCGGCCGGTCCCCCGCGTGCCTGCCTGTCCCCCCCCCCCCGCTTGAAGGGGCTGGGCATAGGGGGCCGCGGAGTGGGGCACACATGGCGAAGGCCCGGCGCCCGGCTCAGCGCCCCGGCCGGGAGGGGGGCCCAGGAGCCCGGGGGCCTCGCTACCAAAATTGCCCTTGTCAATAATCTCCACACACACACACACCCCGGGGACAAGCTCTGCACCTCGCCGCCGGCCGTCACGCCGGGCCGCAGGCCCCGGGCTGGCTCGAGGGGACGAAGCCGCCGACACCCGGCAGGGGGGGCGGGGCGGCGGCGGCGGCGGCTGCGCGAGTGCGGCAAAGAACAGGTCGGCAAGCAGGCTGGAAAAAACACACGGACAGACGGCCCGGCCGACACGGCCCCAAGAGGGCACAAAGCCACCGGGAGACGGGCACACCGGACTATGGTGTGGGGCTCCCCGGGCGGTCCCCCCTGTTCGGGGGCTGGTCGGCCCTCTCCCCGGGCGGGAGATCCATGCGGCGCAGCACATGGGCGCCCCCCCCCCCCCCCAGCAGGGTAGGTGGTGTCTGATTGAGGCCCCCGGCCCCTGAGGCCAGGGCCTCCGCCCCTCGCTCTGGGGGGGGGGGGGCACGCGCGCGGCCTCCGGCTCCCCGGTGTGCGCC